TCTTTGGAGGCGTAGCCATTCGAGATGGGGTTTCGTAATCTCTGCCTTTAAGACAACATCAGACCATTTGATCAGCTTCTCCCTTTAAGTTTTAAGAAGAACGTTTTAACGCTCGATACTTGCTCGATACTCAACTGATTGTCAGTGGGGAAAAAGAGAAGAAGAATGGAAAGAATTCAAGCCTACTTATTCCATAAATAAAGACGTAAAATGGGCAGCTGTACGGAAAATCGCAATACCAGGCATACAGGGAAAATGAGAAAGTAGGCGGACATCTGTTTTATGTTCTTGGAAATGATGCAGTATTCGTGCTAGCGCAGCCACTCGAAAGTATTCAAGTGCTTCAAGTGCACATAGAAGTAGATTAGAAATCGACAAGCTCAGGAGTAATTAGTAAGAACCTTCGCGGTTACTTTGGGAATAGGATCAGGCACGGGGTTACCAGCTCACAGAGCAAGTATTCCCATTTGGGTCAGAGATTCGACAGGAATTTGGACATGACAAAAACTGATTTTGGTAAAATTATCTGGTGAAAACTGACAAAGATCTAGCAATTTGGAAACTTAATCGCGATCAGGATTCGAAATTCAGAATGCAACAAAGTGCACGGCCGTCTCTGCGTCATCATCCTCCCGCCTACCTCCGCAGAAAATTGAAAAATTCAGCGTTTTCAAATATTTTATTGATATTTCATGTAACATTTCTGATGGCTAATTTTATCGAGCATGTGTCATCTATGCGCGTTCTTTGGACTCAGAGTATTAATAAGAAAACAAAGGATAAAAGAGATTGAGCACTCGGCGTTAAACAACCTAGTTGATGCGCCACGCATTCTACTCCCAGTTAGAATCACGTAGCAATTTGAACGAGTTGGACTATACAACGACTTGCGGGGCCTGCCGATATACATGGCAGCGTTTTTGCTCCTCTGAGGTCTTCATATTGATACTAGGCAAATCAAGTATAAATATATGAAATTACTTTAATCAATATAAGTTAGCCGACCCCGAAGGGCTGGAAGGCTTGGCTGACCTGGATACACTAGGCTTTGATCCTCGGACCACGTTTGCAGCAAGCATTGCCCCTTGCCACTTACCACTTCCGTTCCGCTACTGTGAAAAAAAAAGAGAAAAGAAAAGAAGGATGAAAAATTTGCGACTAGGGTTCAAATTACATACCTACCCCGGCTTGAGCCTCAGAAAAGAATTCTGAGATAGCCAAAAAAAGCTATTGGATCAGAACAACGGCAGACTTGTCAGTGGCGATTCTAATAGTAGTGAAGAACCGGTTTTTCACATGATATAGAGGTCCATTTCCGCTAAATGGCCCTCTGAATGCCAAAAAAGGAGTGAAAATAATTTCGTCGGATACTGCAGTTTTTACACACTCACCGTGGTGTGTTTCATTCATGGCGTGTACTGCTTGCATAATGAAGGGTTCTCGCAAGCTGTGTATCGAAAACAAACGCGAAGTTTGGCCAAAATTGGAAAAGTTTGTAAGGTAAAGAAATTTTTTTGGCGTCAGATCACACAATGCAAAAATTTTGTCACCGCGGGGAATTGAACCAAGGACCATTTCCCCACTCCTTTTTTGGCATTCAGAGGGCCACTCAGCGGAAACGGACTACAGTTCTGTACTCCATGCACATCCCTCTACATCATGCAAAAAACCGTTTTGAGAAAGCGCGGGTCCACCTGAAAGACCTTCCCTTGTCAGATAACTAGCATAGAAAATGTCCTCTTTTCCTCTATTTTGACTTAGAAGACTTTTCGAATGCTTTCATGACGACCTACCTCAGCTTTCTTTGTTTGTAATTGATGTGGCCACGACCTACGCTGCTGGTATCACAGTAAACTTTGACCATCGCTTGAACTCAAGGCTCACAGAGCTATTTTTTCCAAGTGAAAAAAAAACACAAAGAAACAGCACCAGATGTTCTCGTCTCCATGGAAGTGAGTCGTGTCATTCTACTTAATTTCCAAACAATTCCTGATTTTCAGCTTTCAATGGAGCCGGGAGTGGTGGAATACACGACACTGAACAACAGTCTGAGCTGGTCAAGCTCTGAATCTCCTTCGAGTCGTTCGGCTACCCTCCGATCCGAAGCCTCGTTGGTTTCAACTGTCTGAGCGAACAAAGCTGAATTCTAATCTGTTCCGGAATTTGCGCACATTCCTTCAATGATCCTCATGTTTGAAAGATTTTTTTTGTACTGGTCATGACAATGCAAATATTTTATTTATACTTTTTATATGCTATAGTTACAGCGATGAAGGTGCCTTAATAAAATTCAACTCGCGATGAAGGTGCCTTAATAAATATATTCACTCCGTGTAAGTAGCCAGCACAAACAAGTAGACGTGTGACAATGTCAAAGCATTCCGATAGAATCTATCTTATACAACTTTTCATATTTGCGCCCAAACCTCTCCATGTATCGTGAGAAAAATCACATTTTCGTGTGAGAAACCGCACAGAAAAACCACAATGGGAACAGAATCGTTGAGGAAAAAGATATTATGTTGAATCGATTGCATGATATTCCACCTGCAATGGCAACCCATTGAGTGCATGTCAAATGTCTTCGCAAGCGAGTGAAAAAGAGGGGTGTCTAGGCGCAAGAGGGAGGCACTGTTGCGACTGAAAGTCTGAGGCAATGGCGCTAACCAGGAAAATCTTTCAGGTCGTTGAGCTCTTTTTCGAAACGGTTTGCATGTTATAGGGGCACATGCGTGGAGCAGAAATCAGGGACGGTAGTAAACTAGCCAAACTTGCACGTTAACGGGCAGTTTTAATGAGCACGTAACGTGGAGGTGCAAGTTTTTCCGATGATGGTGGAAATCGCTTCTATGGCACCTAGGAGACCTATTTATGAAACTCTGAAGAAAGCTTCCCAGGTGAGCTGCAGCTCCCTGGCAGGGTGGTTCCTTGTTACGCGCAGCCGTAAAACGCGCAGGAAGGGCTCGCTGACAGAAAACGGGACGCGGAGGGGCGAAATACAATGTGTTTGGAGAGACGCAGGTGACGCCCGTTACGCGCAGCAAAAAGTCCTTCGGAGGACTTTTTGGAGTTGGCCAACTTCAAACTGCCAGGTGCGTGGGTCAAAGCACGGTGTTGGAAAGGGAAAGGGAGGCACCTTGCATTGATTCGTCAGTGGTGTAGCGCCTGCGGTCTACGTTGGTGTTGGATCAGTCGCGGGATCAGTACTACGATAAATCTAAAGGTTTGCAGCAAAAGTTGTCCACAGCGGGATCGAACCACAAGCCATCGTTTCGACATGTTTTTTTAGCATTCCTAGAGCCGCTCAGAAAAAATTATTCTCAGTTTTATGCTCCCTGCGCGTGTCTCTATAAAATGCAAAAACGTTTTGAAAAAGCGCTCCATGTCCTGAAAGACTTTCCTGGTAAGACCCTGCCTTGTCTGGTGCCGTGTTGTCAGCCTGATCATTAGTGGCATACGTGGCATTTACACACCTTCACGTCCTACATGACCTCTCGCTGCTCTGTTTCCCTCTCCTCGCAGCGCTGTGTCTATCTTATACCACGGATGACCACAGGGAATTTCAGTGTTTCTATAACGCTTTCTGCTTTCTCTTCCCGCAGACTTTCCTCATCGCACTTCTTGTCAAATTTCCTGACAAAATAAGACACTAACTCGATCACAACCCGTGTCTTTAACTCCAACCTAGTCCTTGTAAGAGCAATGCCTTCTGGGTAGGAAGAACTCAGGTCAGTCTTTTAGCGACTGGACTGTTTGAGATCGCACAGACATCAGGGTCATTTATATTCCCGACTGACTTCAACTCAGCCCCATAAAAGCCCCCTATGCTCTCAACCCTATAGTCAGACTGACTGCCGCAGTTTAAGCATCTTCATAACTCTGGCACTATTTACCCCTTACTCCCCACTCCTCAAGAACTGAGCACTCATGAAGCTGCGGGCAATTATGCTCACATTAAGCTCAGGGTAGAAAAGAATGCACAAGTTGTATATCAAAATGCAAAGATGATTGCGCCGTTCAACTGATCTAAAAGTTTCGAAAAACATACTTACTTTGATACGGATAGGTCCTTCAGCATGGCCGATCTTCTCAGCGGTGCCACAGCTCTTACCTGCTTTCGTAAATTTCATTGTCCTTTCAACTTGAAAGAAGCTTATTGTGAGTACTGGAGAACAGGTAAAACGACTTCAACACCTCAACTGGCTAGAACTCCGAATTTCATCAAGCAAACTTTCAGCTGCAATTTCTTCGAGGTAAGTGAGATAACAGATCAAAAGTAAGTCAATAATGGTATTATTCTCAACAACATACCAGCTACCGACCCTAACTATTTGCAAAAAAGCACGAATGACGCACCAGCTTCTTTTTCGTCGTTCGGAATACGACTTTTGTACAATTCCTTTTCTCACGCATAACTACCCTCTGCGCTCCGCCGTCGATTAGTATATAATGGCCCCCCAAATTCCAGTAAATTCTAATTTTTTTGTCTCCAAAGTACAAATCTTAAAAGAGAAACTCTATTAGCGGGGCGCTCGCTATTATTTAACACGAGCGAGAACATATTAGTGTAATATGACGCTGCACCCACCCTCGTTCAATGCCCGTTGTTCCGCCAGATGGGTGGACAAGATCGGACTAGAAGTTTTACGGAATTTGTTCTTTCTCGAATCTCATTTTATTGCGTGTTAGTTAGCCAGGGCTATTGAACAAACCTGAGAAATTTCCGAAGACTGTTCCTGTTCATGCCTTTTGCTCGTTTCGGAGGATCGCACTCGTTGAGCATTTTACATTCTCAGCCATCATATTCGAGCAGAAGCGAAGCAGAGCTAAAATCGGAAGCCGAAATGCAATAGCGCTGTGCTGTGGAGCCTCATGGAGCAGGTTCGCCAAAGCTCACCTGCTTGCCTCCCTGGTTTAGGTGTTGAAAAATCAAAAATTTCAGAAGATGTCTACATCCGCCTCCACCTCCAAGCAGGTGCTCTACTCAGCAATGTTGGCCAAATTTCCAGGCAGGACCTCCAGCGTCATTTGCTCGCGTTTCTCCTTCTCATACATCGTCGTCACGTCTCCAACTTATTGCGAACATCGTAAAACACCCCTCACGTGCTTCGCTTTCCTCCAACCATAACTGTTTCACCTTCTCTCCTGACACTTCTTAGTCCAGCAGCTCAGCCCCCTAAGCCTAATATCTGTTAAGCGTGACTAATACCACTAATAGGATCTATGAGCTGCAAATGTAAGTCACTCTGGAATCCCTCCAAATTCCTCTTTTTAACAAATCTTCAGCCCACGTGTACTTCCTGCTCAAGCATTCCCGCGTCATTTATATTATTAGGTTGGTAACTTTGAAATGTCGTTTTTGATCAAAGATTATCTTAAGTATAAAAGCTATACCAAAGCTTATCAACCTAATTTATTTCGTTTATGTGTATCATCCACTCTCCACCTTTTCCTATGCAAGGCAAGGAGGTCTACCTCGTAGAACTCTTCCAGGTACGACTCGAAGAAGTTAGGTACTCAAATTATGAGGTCGTCGCGGTTATCAAATTGGTTTGCTGCTAAGGAGTATTGCGCTGACCTGAGTCAGTGATAGTTGGAGGGTGCCAGGTCTGAGCTATATGGCGCGAGAGGGAGAGCGTCCCAGCCCAACTCCTCGATTTCTTGTTGCAAAATTTTCGCGACATGTGATCTTGCATTATCGTGCCAAAATGTTTCAATGACCGAATTTGCCCTTTGACTACGTAGAGCCCGATCCTCGCCTGCGGGATGTTGTGCGCAGAGTTTAGCTGTAACTATATGACGCACAATCAGCTCTCCATAGTAAGCCATTCTTATACTGCTTCACCATACTGTAGCAAGACTTTTTCTCTGTGGCTGTCCGGTTTCGGAGAGGCCCTCAGCTGCCCATCTGTTGCCAACCACGGCCATCTTCTCACTTTGTTATCGGGGAACATCCTTCTGTAAAACACGCCTTCAACGAAGTCAGGAACCTTCTTCTTCTTGGAGTTATGCAGCAGAGTTCAAGTATTGGCAACCAATACTGCTTGCTCGTGTCGCTCAGAATAGGCCGAACCCATTTTCTTCCTGGAAGGCCCTAACAGTCGCACGTAGGAACTTTCAAATTTTTTTGTTGACACAACTGAATCTCCATGCAAGTTTTGTGCGGTATGTCGAGGACTCAATTCGTTGGCCTTCTTTATTTCTCCTTCATCTGGAGCTAGAGGTCAAATCCACGACCATCGTCATCAGCTCCTTTACCTCAGTCTTAGAAGAGCTGAAACCATGGCTGAAAGTGCACCAGAAACTGAGTGTTGCTGCTCAATGTTTTGCACGTAATGAGTGGGATTCGTTGGCTGTTTTTCTTTGCTTGAGTATACACGCTCAGGCGATGTTTTCTGATCAATCATGTTCGAGCAAAAGTTTTGGCTCAAAGAACATCCGCTCGCTGACGGCTAAGGTTTCGCAATATGCGCACTGAATTGCTCTATCGAATGGATGCTCTCCCATATTACGAGGTTGAGTTTCAGCTGAGAAACAAAGCCACTAAAGGAAGCGACATTTCAAAGTTACCAACCTAATATTTTAGACATAATTTAAGGGTGGCGATCATAGTGGTTGGGTTGGAGAGTGGTGCGGTTTTGACGACGTCGTTGCTGGGAAGACATTGAGAGGTGGTCTCGACCAAATCTCCAGTACACTGACAGGTCTACCCACCA